CTGTCACTTTAGGAGACTTTACTGTCAATCCAAGGGTGGTGAGTACTCATTGTACTCTGCGTTGACCAGATAAATACCTGGAATATTGTGACCAGTCATGGATGCCACACAGGGGAGTTGGACACTCTGGAGAGATGTCAGTTTTAACCTGGTGGGATGTGTGGTAGTTTTCAGATACACCCTGGGTGGGGAGAATAGCTAATGTAGTTGGTGTCATCTAAGCAGGAGGAGGGAAAGCTTATGGAACCATGATTGGTTCAACAGATCCCTGATGGTCTCTAGGTGTCAAAGGAATTGACTCTCTTAAGTCAGAAGGCAGAATCTAGAACACATTGGTGGAGGATACAAGGAAGTCTATTTTTACTATAAGAAAGAACTTTGTCGTAGTGGTAGCTGTTCAGCAGGCTGCTTCTCAACATCGTGAAGCTCCTATCACTCAGTATGGAGGGCCGGCTAGCACTCTCACTTGAGATGCTAAGATGCTGTGAAAGAGCCTCTTTGGTAAGGCTTTGTACTCCCCGGAAGATCTTTCACAGATCAAACTCCGTGATAACTTTCATTTTTGAAATTCAAGATTAATGTTATTTCAAGAATTACTTTTATTGATCTTTTATGAAATGTGATTTGCTCTCTGTGAGATGACTTTATGCCTATTCATGTTTTCACATTTCAGCTATATTTTCCCATAAAACTTTGATAATGTTCACATAACCTAGTATTGAGAGGTTGCAGTAAGTTTGCATTGTGACTATCCTTGAGCCCCTTTGACATTCATATGCTGTCAAATTGCTTCATTTGTATTCTCAGCAAGATCATGACTGTCTCTCCATTTTCTGGGTGAGGATTTATTTCATTATTCTGAAATTTACAAAATGAGCATACATTTCCAATTCACATTTTTGGCCACTAGTGCATCTTATTAGGGATACAAATTCATTTTCAAAAAGTGAAAACAAACAAACCAATCTACAAAAATGGTCTTCAAGAATAAGTGGGTTACAAATAAATCATGAGAATTCATCTTTAATGTTTCCAAATCTATAGACTCAGGCCATGTGATCATAACATTTAAAGACATCTATAGAGAAATACAAATCAAACTACTCTAAGACATCATCTCACTCCAGTAAGGCTGACAGCTATTATGAAGATAAACAACAGTAAGTGTTGGAGAGGATGTGGGGAAAAAGGTACACTCATACGTTGCTGGTGGGACTGCAAATTGGTGCAGCCAATATGGAAAGCTGTATGGAGATTCCTTGGAAAACTGGGAATGGAACCACCAATTGACCCAACTAACCCTCTCCTGGGTTTATACCTAAAGGGCTTAAAAATAGCATACAACAGGGACACAGCCACATCAATGTTTATAGCAGCATGATTCACAATAGCTAAACCATGGAGCCAACCTAGATGCCCTTCAGTGGATGAATGGATAAAACAAAAAAGTGGCATACATATATAATGGAATTTTACTCAGCAATAAAAGAGAATAAAATCATGGCATTTGCAGGTAAATGGATGGTGTTGGAGAAGATAATGCTACGTGAAGTTAGCGAATCCCCAAAAAACAAATGCTGAATGTTTTCTCTGATATAAGGAGGCTGACTCACAGTGGGGTAGAGAGGGGGAACAAGGGAGGAATAGATGAATTCTAGATAGGGCAGAGGGGTGGGAGGGAAAGGGAGGGAGCAGGGGATTGGCAAGGATGGTGGAATGTGATAGACATCATCATCCAAAGTACATGTATGAAGACATGAATTGGTGTCAACATGATTTATATACAACCAGAGATATGAAAAATTGTGCTGTATACATGTGATAAGAATTGTAATACATTCCACTGTCATTTATTTTTTTTAAATCAATAAAAATAAATAAAAAATTTACTTGGTATTCTCACAAATACTAATCAAAAAAAAAAAAGAATAAGTGGGTTAATAAATTCTTCTAATTAGTCCTTCAAAGGCTCTTCCCCAAAGAGGATTCCTCTGGATACACATCTCCAACTGTTCCATCTCCCTCATCTTGGACACCCTCTTATGCTCCCATCACATGATTTTCTACCAATACAGAAAGGTATATTAGCTCTCAAAATTGCTGATTTTGCTTTTATAGTATGTTTCTCTCCATCTGTATCCCCACAATTATATTTTAAAAAGTCTATATATTGATGATACCTGTATGTCTTCAGCTTGGGAATCAATCTAATTTTGGAACAGAACCTGGTTAAGAGCAACAGTCTTCATCACATTTTTAAAAAAAGCCACCTGGAAATCCACAGGCCTCAGTTGGAATATCACCTCAGGGTCATGAAGTGCAGCCTATCATAGGCTGAGTACATGAGCAGCCCTAAGAAATTCAAGCATTATCTTTTCTGACTGCAGCTTAACTGAACATTCTGAATCCAGAATCTGGAATTTAAGCTGAAAAAAATGTAAAAGGACCTTCTTAATGAAGTCCATTTGCAGGCCTGTTGATTTAGTTACTAGCTCCTGCAGTGAGTATTAATTGGTAAAATGGATATATCTGCAGGAATGACAGTGACAAACGAAGTAAGTATCTGGCTTTCAGGGCATCAGAAGTCATCAGAGTAAAACTCATTGTTCAGACTGATAGTCAAGCATTGTAGCTGCATTTGCCCTTGTTTGGCTACCTATGCTGGAGGAGTTTACCTTAGCATATGGGCTGCTGTTATGGCAAAGAAGGGTGTAATATCTGTCTGTTTTAGATGCCATTTGTGCCCACTAGCAAACACTCCTCACAAGTTGTCATAATTATTGGATATACTCATGATTGCATGGACTTAAAAAGAGAAATACTTAAGCTTATATTTAATAAGAAAATGTAAATCAATCAAAATGTATTCTCTCTCTCATACATGCACACACACACACACACACACACACGTATACCACTGATTTCAGACAGTTGCTGTTATCTTAGATGAGCCAGCCTGAGTACTATTAACTGTTCCTAGTCTTCTAGGGCTTCTTTTGCTTTCCTACTCCCTGTATTAGTCCATTTTTAAAAAATTTTTTAAAAATATTTTTAGTTGTAGATGTACACAATACATTTATTTATTTATTTGTTTATTTTTGTGGTTCCCAGGGCCCAACCCAGTGCCTCTCATATGCTAGGCAAGCACTCTATCACTGAGCTAAAACCCTAGCCCCTAATAGTTCCTCTTCTGTTACTATAATAAAATTCCTGATGCTCCATACTTTATTTACAAAGAGGTTTCTGTATACTACCAGTTTGGAGGTCCAAGAGATAGCTTCAGCATCTGCTTAGCTCTGGGGAGGGCATTTTGGCAACATCAGAACATGGTGGATGAACCATGGTAGGAGTGCGTGCCGGAGTGAGAAATCACATTGTGAAACAGGAGGCCAGAACAATTTAGGGATCCAGTTTGCTCTCCTGGAAACTAGTCAATGTACCTTAAGAACTACATTATTCCCTTCTGAGGGTCGTGATTTCAATGACTAATGACCTTCTACTGGGTCCCACATCTTAGAGAATTTACCATCTCAACTCTGCCACTTGGAGGACTAAGCTTCCAGCACATGACATTTGTGTAAACACTCAAATCATATCCAATCCATAGCTCTCCTCAAGAGAAGGACATAATTATTAATTAACTTTTAAAGAAATGAAAAATAGATGTCTAGCTTGACATTATTCAATAAAATTGTCTGCGACTATGCCAACATTTTGTACTTAAAGTATCTGACATAGTAGTTAACAGCCACATGTGGCTATCGTGTACTTAAAATGTGGCTAATGTGATTAAGGAAGTAAATTTTAAAATTTATTTAATTTCAACATAATTTAAATAGCCATATGTGACTAGTGGCTATCACACTGAATAGTACAGCAATCTTCGAAAAACTCACAGCATCAGAAAATGTACTGAGGAAATGCATTAATTACTCAGTGCGATTCACCGTTTTGAATTTCTACATTGAATTCAATGATACTCAAATGTTATATCAGTTTTGCTAGATGTTAAAATCATTATTAATAAAGAAAAATAATCAAATTAACTGAAATATTTATAGTTAGTAAAAGACCATTCTCTATTGTATGCTGATTTGAAGATCTGCATAACAAATCTATCATCTATGATTTTCATAAGCATTTAAAATTAGATTTTTTCCCCATATCTTGCAAGAGAGGAAAATGGTATGCCAGTTTAATAAGAAAGCCAAAGTCTTAAGCCAGTAAGTGGTAGAGCCAATGACTGGAGTCCAGGGAAGATTCAACACTAATGCTTTTCACAATGAATATTCCTCAACTGGTCTGGTAGAGCATGGTGCTCAGCAGAGTCAGAAACATGAACTCTGGCACCAGCTGCCTGATTTGAATCCTGCATCTACCACATAAGCCTCAATTTTCTCATTTTAATATAGAAATAAGAAAGGCATCCACCTCACTGGTTTGTTATGAGGGTAAAGTAAGTTAACAACATCTGGCACATTGTTTAAACCATCAGAATTGCCTATCATCATTATTTTTAATTTGAAAGAGACTGTCCTTTGTAAAGATGCTGATTTGATATGATACTAATAGATGGAATACTTTGGGTGTATTTTCCTAAGAAATAAGAAAAGATAATTCAAGAAGAAACACCCTGCTGTTTAGTCACTTTGGTGTCTTCATCACTGAGATTGCAAGTTTCAGAGCACTCATGGTCTGACCGATTCCTCACATCTTTGCTTTTCATGTTACCCTTAGAGATGTCTCCTTTGGTGTCTTTGATTGGTTTTGAATGCTGAGCAGTGACAAGCACCAACACAGCTGGAAAGAGCTGTAAGGTTTGCAGTTCTGTCTTCCAGCAGGGAATTATTGCCATGGATACCAGCATCAGAGAAAGACTGGGGAGCACTATCCACTTGCCTTCTGAGTGTCTGACATCTGTTTCTGGCAAGGCCAATAACGAATGTGCTAGTAGTTTATATCAAATGGAAGACTGATGCACACCTGTTTTCCCTCCACAGATGGCCTCCGCCCAAGATGCCAGATATGGTCAGAAAGACTCCTCTGACCAGAACTTTGACTACATGTTCAAATTGCTGATCATTGGCAATAGCAGTGTGGGGAAGACATCTTTTCTGTTCCGTTATGCGGATGACTCCTTTACATCTGCATTCGTCAGCACAGTTGGGATCGATTTCAAAGTAAAAACTGTATTCAAAAATGAAAAGAGAATCAAGCTCCAGATTTGGGTAAGTGACTTTGAACTGACAGTGTTCTTCAATCTGGGGTGGTGGACATATAAGTGTGTCAGGGAAAAACTTTCTGCCTTTTTCTGTCTCCATGGGATCTGCGAGCTTTGATTTCTAGTTGCTTTGCGGTAGAACATTCTGTTTCAAAGACAGTAGGGTGACACCTTTTGAAGTCATGGAGAACAAATTATGCTTTGTTGTCAAGTAATGCTCCTTAACAGTTTTAAGAAGGAGAAAAAAGCTAAACTTCTGTTGTCTTGTGGCAGAAGGAACACTCAGTGTGTGAACACTCTAGCTCCGCCTTTTATGAGCTGTGTGACCTCAAACAAATCTGTGAGTTTTTCTGTGACATTTCTACAGTCTATAAAATGGGCAATGCAGATCTGACTTTTTAGGACCCAGGAAGTAGCCTGCCCTGGACATTGTAAAACAGAAGGTTAACAATCAAATTATAAGAAAAGCTGGGATCTGATCCTTCATAAAGTTCCAGCTCTGACTTTGTACATGGTCTATTTGTAGTTCACAAACTTTGTGTCTTCAACTCTAAAAACTATGTTTATACCCTCAAATGAAACAAACTAGTTATTTGAAATGGGTCATCTCTAGGTAGAAAATAGCCCACAAATTTTGAGAGCATTTGGCTAGATTTCTGCCTCCTTCCACTGCCTGAAGAAGATCAGATGTTTCTTAATTAAATTGTTGAACTAAATTTAGGAGACTCATGAGCAAAAAAAAAAAAAAAACAAAAAACAAAACAGAATAAAAATGTATTTGGGTAATAAGTCCAAGGTAATATAAGAGATGAAGTAAGACCAGATCGGTGACAACACGAGGGGTTTAAGTAGTAAATATTTTATGGACTCCAAAGTAAGTACTTAGACAAAATGTTTTTGCAGTCAACTTTGGACCCCTTTTCCTGTTCACATGTCCCTCTATCACTCAGATGATTCCAGCTATAAATAGGCATTTCCTAAGAGGTGTTTACTCCCTCCTTCCAAGATACTTCTGACAGCTACTACCATTTGGTGCTGGTTCCATGATGTAGGACTGATGGTAATTCTTCTTTCTTCAATATGGAAAGCTGAAAGAGAGACAAATCCCAGAGCATGATACTTAAACTTTTTTTTAAAATAAAACAGCCATTTATAAAAATATTTATATAACAGAATGACCTTCAAATTTAAACACTAACTCTTTGTTAGTGTTTTACTTATTCTGACTCTGAAGTCTTGCAAGTCTAACTGGAACTCATAAGAACTTGGACAATTAGGTCTCAGAGAGAGCACCTTCAAAGCTCCACCATCTCCTAAAGTCATTTTGTTTGAGAGGGTGCGTGTTTAGGAGCTTGACTTCAATCAAAGTAGACACCAGCCATACTATACACCCCTGTGTATGGAGATGAAAAGAGCCTTGGGACCTGTTTTTTCTTTTTTCTTCCTTTTGAGCTTTAGGCAACCAAACATCATATGATAAATTTCATGATCAGGTTTAAGAAAGGCCCTTTACTCTCAGTATCTTTGGTGTATTTGGCAGCCACACATCTCTTAATCCATTACAGTGTTCTTTCTACTAATATGAAAGAACAGTCATTCCTCTGGCTGAAAGCTTCTCTTTTTCTCCTCTCTTGTTTGTCTTAGAGATATTTTAAAATGTTTGTTGTAATCATTTAGACAAAACAACAATATGATGTGTTCAACCAGTCTTATAATTGTTAGTAATTTTTCAATCTAGATTTTTTTAAAGGTATGGGGCTTTTTGTTTATTTAGTTTTTTTATGTGGTGCTGTTGATTGAGCACAGTGCCTCACACATGCTAAGCAAGCACTGTATCACTGAGCCACAACCCCAGTCCTCAATCTAGATTTTTGACAGAAATCTTTGTTGTGATGCAAAATCTTCTATCCTTAATGTAAAGCAGATTATTTATCTTAGTTATGAAAATATATTTTTTTAAAACATAGTCCTGAGCCAGACCAGGGCTACTTTCATTCACTATTTTGACATTGAGGTTCAGGGATTTCAATCAATGTCTTCCTTCTAGATGAATGCTGCTCTTCTCTGAGCTAACCATAGCCCAACTGGGACCCTCCAATTTCTTTTATTCTGTTACTTTCTCATGCTTTCTAGTTTCTGTAACTTCACACAATGCCTCTGATATATCATTCTCTTCTCATTTGTCTCTAATCCTCTATTTAACATTTTTTCTAAAACCTCTGTGTTTCTTCATAACCTGGGACCTCATTCCAGGATTCCTTCCCTTTTTCTGGGGATACCCCCCACCCCGCCTCACTCAGGGTCAGTCACACACAAAGCTCTTAATGCACATGAGTCTAGGGGTGTAAAAATTAATTTTATACTACTATCATCTGCTCTACTAGATTGTGAAATATTCAAAAGAAGTATTATACAAAGATTTTGGGATTACTGACCTTGTAGCATAGTTAGAAGGAAAGATTAATGTTTATATAACAATTACATATTTCTACAAAAAGATGCCAAATTGCAGCAACAGTGTACACATCTATCAATTATTGAATAAACATTCTCCATGCCTTATTTCTTAATTCTCACAACAACCCAACTTTGTATTTATTATAATTCCTATTTTGCCTAAGAAATCTGAAGGTGGGACAAATTAAATAACTTGTTTAGGGTCATATCCTGTGAATGGTAAGAGGAAATTCCGGGATAGATCCATCATCATATGCCAGTTTGGGGTATGTGCCCTTCACCACTATGCTGATATGATTAAGAAGCCTTGAATACAGTAGTGTTTTGTGAAGAGCACTTGATCAGTGTATCCTGGGATACTGAAAATATTTTTTGAAAGAGTCTGACTCTCTCAATGAATTGCAGCATTCAAGAGGAAATATAATAAGAAGTTGACACAGTGGTGTGCTTGCTTTTTGCTCTAATGCATTTGTGCTGAAAAAATATTTAGTTGAGTATAGTTATTAGTGCTTAACAAGTTTGACAAATCATTTCCTTGGGAACATATTTAATGCTGATGATTTGTTATCTCATTGTTTTATGAACCAATTAACTTCCCTTCCAAGCCTATAGTACTTTTATGCACTTATATTTTATTGTGTAACTAAGCTTTGTTAAGATGGTCACATCATTTTAGCCTATTATATATTCTCTCTATATAAACTATTTTGCTTCAATCAAGCAAAACAGTTTCACAGTATGGAAACCATCATGGATTAATTCACTGTCTTTTTTTTTTTTAATTTTTTATTGTTGGCTGTTCAAAACATTACATAGTTCTTGATATATCATATTTCACACTTTGATTCAAGTGGGTTATGAACTCCCATTTTTACCCCATATACAGATTGCAGAATTACATCAGTTACACATCCATTGATTTACATATTGCCATACTAGTGTCTGTTGTGTTCTGCTGCCTTTCCTATCCTCTACTATCCCCCCTCCCCTCCCCTCCCCTCCCCTTTTCTCTCTCTGTCCCCTCTACTGGCATTCATTTGTCCCCCTTGTATTATTTTTCCCTTTCCCCTCACTTCCTCTTGTATGTACTTTTGTATAACTCTGAGGGTAGTTCACTGTCTTTACCAAGATAGATTGTAGATATTGATGTGATTTTTATAGCTCTATTAATGTTTAATTAACTATAAATAGAACCAAGCTGGGCTGAGATCGTGGCTCAGTGGTAGAGCACTTGCCTAGCACATGTGAGGCACTGGGTTCGATCCTCAGCATCACATAAAAAATAAAATAAAGGTATTATGTCCATTTATAACTAAAAAAATAAAATAAAAATAAAAAATAGAACCACGCTAGGAAACCAAGCTCTAGAGAGGTTAAGTGATTTGATTTTATAGTTAGTGCCAGAGCAAAATTTAAAATCTAGGCTTTTTGCTAAGTGGGCCAGTCTCATTTCTTCTACACCAAGATGACTCTCAAGGTAAATGCTATTCCTGAGAATTGATAAATCTCACATCCAGTTGCCAGTGGAATCTACTGGGCATAGAAAAATTAAACTTGAGGCCAGATTTCTTATAGTATTTTAACATGTCAGAAAGGGAGAGCCTTTGGGAATACTCCCCTGGTAATTCTACCTTGATGGTTTGGTTTTTCTTCATGTGCTGCATAAAGATTTTCTGATTCTACAAACTGAACTACTGGAGTTTTCACCAGTCTGCCTTCCAACTAAAGCATTTTAACTGCTAGAAACATTTACATCTCTTCCTGGACATGTTATACCTCCTCTCTATGGTAGTTCATTACTACCTTGGAATAAACTTGTTTAGAGAAAGGTCATCCTTCATTTGTACTTTGTTATTATCCTTGTATCCCTACATGTTTATGATCCCTCTGTCCTTTGCCATATTAACATTTCTTATCACATTTCTAACTTGTTATCATTTTTATGATTCACAGATCAAACATTTTTAAAATTTTAGATTCCAGTGTTTGGGCTAGTTCTTTATTGTGTGTATTTTTATGTGTGCGCGCATGTGCACTTCTTGCTGCTAGGAATGTATTAGAAATTTATGATGACTTTTCACTTTAATTATATAAAATATATAGCTTGTATCTATAATATTTTGCTTGTAATTTAAGAAACAATTTAATAAAAGCTATGTGGAGTTGATTTCTTCCCAGAGAAAAGATTGAAAAACAGTATAGTAGTCATTGCTGAGAAGAATATCACCTGTATTTATTTTCAGTGTCTAGATCAATAGCACAAGAACATTGAGGCTTAGAGAAATGCTTGCAAACTATGGCAGTTATTGAAATTTGACTTTCTAGATGGCCAGATGTGACATTGTGGGTCCCTTGAATGAAATGACAATTTCCTTTGCTTAAAGAAAGGATGGATTTTTTTCTTTTTTCCTGTTTCATTGGGTTTATGCTCTTCAAATTCAAAACTCAGGGTTAACTCTAACTAATAGAAAGTTCAGCCTGCAAAATATATAGTTCAGTTAGAGAAACTAGGTTTAAAATAGGCAGGGGCAGGTCAGCAAAGGGAATTAT